GGGGGACCTGAGGGGTCTGGCGGGGTCCGGGGAGGGGCTTGGAGGGGTCCCCTGGGGGGGCTGCACCTCGATTTTGGGGTCCCACCAGCCCCATTGGGGGCTTTCAGTCCAATTTTGGGGGTCCCCTGGACCCTTCTGGGCTCTTTTGACACAATTTTGGGGTCTCCTCAGTCCCATTGGGGGCCTTCAGCACAATTTTGGGGTCCCTCGTGGCCCCGTTGAGGCCTTTCAGTCCAATTTTGGGGTCCCCTGGATCATTTTGGGGTCCTTTGACCCAATTTTGGGGTCCTATCAGCCCTATTAGGGGCTTTCAGTCCGATTTTGGGGGGTTTTGGAGGATTCTCTGTTATTTTGGGGGTTCCCCCGGGGTTTTTGGGGTCCCCCTGATTTTGGGGTGTCCCCCCCGATTCTGGGGTGCAGCTGCTGAAGAAGATGAGCTCCAGTGGCACCCCCTGGGCACGGGGGGATGGGGTTTTTGGGGGATTCTTTGGGGTTTTGGGGGATTTGGGGGGGTTTGGAGGATTCTCTGTTATTTTGGGGGCTCCCTGGGGGTTTTTTGGGTCCCCCTGATTTTGGGGGGTCCCCCCGTTTTTGGGGCGCAGCTGCTGAAGAAGATGAGCTCCAGTGACACCCCCTGGGCACGGGGGGATGGGGATTTTGGGGGATCCTTTGGGGTTTTTGGGATCCTTTGGGGTTTTGGAGGATTCTCTGTTATTTTGGGGGCTCCCCCAGGGTTTTTTGGGTCCCCCTGATTTTGGGGTGTCCCCCCGTTTTTGGGGCGCAGCTGCTGAAGAAGATGAGCTCCAGTGACACCCCCTGGGCACGGGGGGATGGGGATTTCTGGGGTATTCTTTGGGGTTTTGGGGATTCTCTGTTATTTTGGGGGATTCTCTGTTATTTTGGGGGTTCCCCCTGGGGTTTTTGGGGTCCCCCTGATTTTGGGGTGTCCCCCCCGTTTCTGGGGCGCAGCTGCTGAAGAAGATGAGCTCCAGTGACACCCCCTGGGCACGGGGGGATGGGATTTTTGGGGGATCCTTTGGGGGTTTCAGGATTCTTTGGGATTTTGGGGGATTCTCTGGGACTTTTAGGGATTTTTGGGGGGTTTTTTGGGGTCCCCCTGATTTTGGGGGGTCCCCCCCATTTTTGGGGCGCAGCTGCTGAAGAAGATGAGCTCCAGTGACACCCCCTGGGCACAGGGAGATGGAGATTTCTGGGGCATTCTTTGGGGTTTTTGGGGGGATCCTTTGGGATTTTGGGGGATTTTTAGGGGTTTTTAGGGTCCCCCTGATTTTGGGGTGTCCCCCCCGTTTTTGGGGCGCAGCTGCTGAAGAAGATGAGCTCCAGTGACACCCCCTGGGCACGGGGGGATGGGGTTTTTGGGGGATTCTTTGGGGTTTTTAGGGATTTTTTGGGGGGTTTTGGGGGATT